AAAAAATGCGTCGCCCGACCGGCTGCCCGCTGAGCCAGATCTGCATCCCCCCTCCCGCCGTGCTGGTGAGGAGCTTCCCGGTGAGATCCAGCCTGGATCCCTGCGGCACCACCGGCACCTTCCAGGGTCTCTCCCACCTCGGGAGCCCCTGCTGCTACCCCGGCACCACCACCTACGTCAACCTGGGCAGTCTGGGCTCGGCCCAGGCCGCCTGCGGGCTCGTGGCCTCCACGTGCGTCCCCTCGTGTAGCCAGGGGGTGGCCACGACGTGTGGGAACCCCCGGTGCTGCTGCTGCTGCCTCGTCACTGAGAGCCGCAGCACGAGCCAGGAGGTGGCCAAGGGCTGCACAGCCCCGTGCCAAGATCCCTGCTGCCAGGAGGTCACCAAATGTGCCACCACGTGCCAGGATCCCTGCTGTAAGGAAGTGACCACCTGTGTCACCACGTGCCAAGATCCGTGCTGCCAGGAGGTCACCAAGTGTGTCACCACGTGCCAGGATCCCTGCTGTAAGGAAGTGACCACCTGTGTCACCACGTGCCAAGATCCGTGTCGTCAAGAGGTCACCAAGTGCACCACAACGTGCCAGGATCCGTGCTGCCAGGAGGTCACCAAGTGTGTCACCACGTGCCAGGATCCGTGTCGTCCAGAGGTCACCAAGTGTGTCACCACAACGTGCCAAGATCCGTGTTGTAAGGAGGCCACCAAATGTGTCACCACAACGTGCCAGGATCCCTGCTGTAAGGAAGTGACCACCTGTGTCACCACGTGCCAAGATCCGTGTCGTAAGGAGGTCACCAAGTGCACAACCGTCTGTCGGGATCCGTGCTGCAAGGAGGTCACCAAATGTGTCACCACGTGCCAGGATCCGTGTCGTCAAGAGGTCACCAAGTGTGTCACCACAACGTGCCAAGATCCCTGTTGTAAGGAAGTGACCACCTGTGTCACCACAACGTGCCAGGATCCGTGCTGCAAGGAGGTCACCAAGTGTGTCACAACGTGCCAGGATCCGTGTTGTAAGGAGGTCACCAAGTGCACCAGGACATGTGTGGACCCGTGCTGCCGGGAGGTGACCAAATGTGTCACCACGTGCCAGGATCCGTGCTGCCAGGATGTCACCAAATGTGTCACCACAACGTGCCAAGATCCCTGCTGCAAAGAAGTGACCAAGCGCACCAGGACGTGCGTGGATCCGTGCTGCAAGGAGGTGACCAAATGTGTCACCACGTGCCAAGATCCGTGCTGCCAGGATGTCACCAGGTGTGTCACCACGTGCCAGGATCCGTGCTGCAAGGAGGTGACCACACGCACCACCTGTGTGGACCCGTGTTGTCAGGATGTCACCAGGTGTGTCACCACATGTGTGGACCCGTGCTGTCAGGATGTCACCAAGTGTGTCACCACGTGTGTAGATCCATGTTGTCAGGATGTCACCAGGTGTGTCACCACATTTGTGGGCCCGTGTGGCAAGAAAGCCACCAGGGGCCTCACGCCGTGTTACGATCCCTGCTGCAAGAAGGTGACCAAGTGGAGCAGCCCGTGCGTGATCCCCTGGTTCAGGAAAGGGGCCAAGTCCAGCACCAGATGTGCAGATCCCTGCTCCAAGAAGGGCCACAAGCACAGCTCCAGATGTGTGGACCCGTGCTACAAGAAGGTGTACAAGTGCTCCACCACGTGCCAAGATCCGTGCTGTGTGGCCAGGTGTGACCCCAGGTGTGTGGACCCCTGTTGTCAGGAGGTCGCCAAATGTGTCACCAGGTGTGTGGATCCGTGTTGTCAGGAGGTCACCAAGTGCAGAACCAGGTGTGTGGACCCCTGTTGTCAGGAGGTCACCAAGCGTGTCACCACGTGCCAGGATCCCTGCTGCCAGGAGGTCACCAAATGTGTCACCACATGCCAAGATCCCTGCTGCCAGGAGGTCACCAGGTGTGCCACCAGGTGTGTGGATCCGTGCTGCCAGGAGGTCACCAAGTGTGTCACCACGTGCCAGGATCCGTGTCGTCAAGAGGTCACCAAGTGTGTCACCACGTGCCAGGATCCCTGCTGTGTCACCAGGTGTGTTGATCCTTGCTGCCAGGAGGTGACCAAATGTGTCACCACATGTGCGGATCCCTGTTGTCAAGAGGTCACCAAATGTGTCACCAGGTGCGTTGACCCCTGCTGCCAGGATGTCACCAAGTGCGTCACCACGTGCCAGGACCCCTGCTGTGCCACCAGGTGTGTCACCAGGTGTGTGGATCCCTGTTGTGGCAGAGTGACCAAGTACACCACCAGGTGTGTGGATCCCTGCTGCCAGGAGGTCACCAAATGCGTCACCACGTGCCAGGACCCCTGCTGCCAAGGTGTCACCAAATGCGTCACCACGTGCCAAGATCCTTGCTGTGCCACCAGATGTGTTGATCCTTGTTGCCAGGG